CCAGCTTCCCTCCTTTTTCTAAATTGTTATTGTCCCTTGTTCCCTTATAAGGTTGTGTCAATGTCATTTGCATTCATGAGATCTATTTGACCCAGTTTTGGTAATTGTTCCTATTTTATACTGTATTTCATTGTTACTTTTGAAAATTTTATAAATATATACAGTGAGGAAAAGAATTATTCGATCCCCTGCAGATTTTGTAAATTTGCCCACTTACAAAGAAATTAAAGATTTAAAATTTTCTTCATATGTGTATTTTAAATGATAGAGGCAGAATATCAATCAAAAATCCAGAGAAAAAAAAGTTTAAAATGTTATAAATTGAGTTGCAGTTCAGTGAGTAAAATACGTATTTGATCCCCTACCAACCAACAATAATTCTGGATACCACAGACTGGCTATGTGGTACACAGATTAGTCCTGTCAAATTAAGAAGGTGCGCCTTTTTACCGACAACTCGTTATTTATATAAAAGACACCTGTACACAGAATCTCTTCAAACCTCACCACCATGAGCAAGACCAAAGAGCTGTCAAAGGACATTAGGGGCAAGATTGTAGACCTGCACAAGGCCGGAATGGGCTACAAGACTATCAGCAAGAAGCTTGGTGAGAAGGAAACAACTGTTGGAACGATTTTTCACAAATGGAAGGAATACAAAATAACCATAAATCGCCCTCGGTCTGGAGTTCCATGCAAGATTTCACCTCATGGGGTAAGGATGACGGTCACTACGGTCAGTATGCAAATAAGGGGCAAAAACCACTCAGTAGGAAATTAACTGAATTTATTAAAGGAAAACAATTACAACAGAAGTTTGGAAAATGATCAGCCACGTACCTGGCATAACATCCTGAATATCACCTGCCCAACTGCTTGATATCATGCACTGGTATGCCTTGCCTGGATGCTGCAGATGCTGCCCCTACTCTAAATGAATGCCCGGAATATTGTTCATGGTTGAGACCCTTGTTGGCTGGGAGGATGCGGACATGTCTGATGAAATGTGCAGCACTGAGTGGTCCTCCCAAAAAAGGCAACAGGAGACTGTCCAGAGGGGAATGACCAAAAGCAGCTAGTAGCTGATACAGAATTCTGACTGCACACCAGACATTCTGAGAGGGAAAGTACTTAACCTCCACACGCTTGCCAGGCTGCAGCCACGATAGGATACATCTCAGAGAGAAGAGGTCAGAGAAAACTCGGGAACCTCAAGAACCTCTTCCGACCAAGCAGCTGCTAGCCAATGGGGGCCAAAAATAGCTGCGGCATCAGTGACAACCCGAGGTGAATCTACGGATGCCTGCGGGATGAACATGTATACACACCGTTCCACTGACTGAGAAACTCCTCCCACATTGACAAGTCAGCACACGCGCAAGGATCTGACTGAACTCTGCATTGGGCGCTGAAGGCAGCAGCGCAAGCAACCTGAATATGAATGACCTACCCTGTGGTATTATGCTCATAGCAAACTTGAGCATACCTAGCAATGACTCCAGCTCCTTCCTGGTGGTAGTGCCGGGCCGAACCAATGCCCGGCTGGCAAGCCTAATCCTATCCAACTTGTCCTGAGGTAAACTACCCTGCATGTGCAGAGTCCAAATGGACACCTAGAAAGGTGATAGCAGTATTCAGGCCTTCCACCTTATGGGCCACCACGGGGACATTCATTTTGGCGAAAACGGCCAACAGGGACAGCAGATCTACAGGGGGCCGGGCCGGATTCTCAACCAAAAGAAAGTCATCCAAATAGTGGATGACCGACTGGCAACCCACAAAATTGGCGAGAATCCAATTCAAGGCCCTGGCAAACCTGTTGAACGGCCATGAGCTACTCTTGGACCTGAAAGTAAGTTTTGTGGCAAAATAATACCTGTCTCTCCACTTGACACTGTGCCACTGCCAAAGCGAAGGCCTGATCAGGAGAAGTTTAAAAGCATTGGGAATGTCCTCTTTGGACAACCAGGAGCCCCTGTCTGCCTGGATAATAGCTTGAATAGCCTGATCCACAGAGGAATATTTAAGCGAAAACTCGGACGGGATCAGTGAATTCAGACTAGGCACACTGAAAGAATGAGGAACAGACAAGCCATAAATCAGAGTTTATTAGAAAATTTCCCCCTGACCAGACCAATAGGACTTGCCCTCCAAAACTGAAAAGGGGGGAGGGTAACAAAGGGACCAATGGACAAAACCCTTCTCCAACTCCTGAGCCAGCAATATGTCAACCCTGTCCGGATCCAGAGAAGATGATTGTAGATCCCTGCACTCAAAAGAGGAGGTAGTCAAGGCAATGAACCCCATGTAGAACCCCTGAACCAGGTACTCACATAAAGACGGGGACGGGAGACCCGCCAAACAGTGACACAGGAACCCCATGTCAATACGGCTCAGTCATGCAGAATCAGCCTGTCAGGGTACAAGCTGACTTGGGGTTGTCCCGAAAGCAAAGGGCACAGATATGCAGGTGGCGGCACTGCCCAAAATGACAGGTGGTGTAGTTGAAATTGTTGCATATCTGTGCCTTGCCCAGAAAATGAATGGGCCTGCCCAATTTATGCAACTGTTCCTGTTTAGGATTGGGTAGAGGGGCCACCGCAGATCTGGAGGTACCAGGGGTGGACGGTGTCTTGGCAGTGGGACACCATGCGGTGATATGGGAGGAGGACTGGAAAATGGGACACACCGGAGCACTTAAACCTGCAAAACGGCGGCAGAACAGTTCCATGTCCACGCTGCCCCAGTTGGTCACAACTTGGAACTGGGCCAGGGTGGCCGCTGCCTTAGCCGAAAAGGACCTGTGGTAGTCATAGAACGCAAAACCACCATACTTGTGTCCCAACTCCACTACCCTGTACAGATACAAGTCCAGCTCTTCCCTCCTGTTTGGCACCACCGAACAGACCACATCCCTATACACACTAAAAGCCAACATAAATTCAGGCAAGAATAATATACAATTAAGTTGGGGATCCTTCGCTTTAAGGATCACTAAAACATCCCTGCAGGCAAAGGACTTATTCTCAACCATATCATGTGATGCCAAAAGTAAGGAAGCCAGGTTTACGTCCTTCCGTTCCAGGGAGTCCTTCCTAATGCTAGGGGGCACAAAATGAGTGGGAGTAAACGAAGGAGGAGAGCCAGGGATACCTCGGCGAATAAGGGTTGTGGCGGGAACGGCCGGGATAGCCACGGCCTGGGGGCCGGAGCCGGCCTTCTCCACCGACTTCATGCATTGTTACAGGTACTGCACAGAGGAGTTGGGAGAGTTCAACAAGGTGTGAATTTGCATGAGGGAGGTGGCCATGGTCTGCAAGAAGACCTGCTCCAAACTGGTGGTAGCCGCCCTAGTAGCTTTGCGGGCAGTTGCCGGGAACGGAATCCCACAAAGCTGCATTTCAGCTGTCAGACGTGGGATGGCCCAAGGACGTAGGGACGGTGCACTGCCGTGTTCGGACCCCCTGGCAGGAGATGGTGAAACAGAGACAAACTCCTTAATACCCAAAGCCTGAGACGTCCTGTATAATTCGAAACGAAAATGGAAATGTAACAGATGTAAAAAAACAAAATATTTTTTTTGTAACTACCACCAGCAAAACTCAACAGACAAAAAGACCGTGGACAACGTACGGCATAACACAGACGTGGGGCGGAATGAGGCCTGTGGCAGATGTAATCAAACTAAATTGAGACATATCTGGAAGCCTGGAACCGATCAGGCCTGTCACAGATGTGTCCTACCGCACATGACCGTGTGTTATCTTTTTTTCGTAGGTGTGTAGTAAGACAGCATATGACGTATGAACAGGGAACTAGAGGACAAAATGGTGACCAAACAAAATGTAAGAACACTCAGAGTCCCCCCGACCCCAACTGGGGTACATCTATGTGCATGCAGATGCGTCTGCTAAACCATGTGTCAACGTATAATCACTAAAGATTCACCACAGCAACCACAACCCTACAGCCTAGTGTATGTGAAGTAGCAAGGTGTGAATGCCTCGTATACTAACCGAAATGAGAGGAAACCCCTAGCGGAGTTTCACACACCTGAAATACGAATAAGCAGAACAAACTCCCAAAGGGAACCGTAGATCCACAAACACACTCAGACCTGTGATAAACGAAAATGCGTCAACATCAATGTGATATTCATTACACTAAGCAACAAACTGACTAGTGTCTAATGAACTCCAAAACCACCCTGGAATTTGCTCTGTAGAACGACTATACATGTCACCATGGATTCAGGAACTCATCATATTGGTATATTGCTGATGCCAGTAATGAGAACAGCAGTGCATATCTGCAGTACACTAAATTCAATTTCTATAGGCACACCACAAACTCTGTCTTTGGCAGAAAAAATGGTCACAATCTTGTAAATGACAATTAAAATATTTGATACTTGGTATTTAATTGATTTTTTCCCCAGATGAAAGTTTCACTTGAACATATATATACATTTAACACTTTACATTTTCACATAACAATACAGTTTTATCTTTTAGATTTAGTCAAAAAATATTTTTTTTTGTGCACGGATACTGATTTTGGTGTGTTTTAACAATTGAATTGTGTATTTTTATCGGTTTAATATTAATTTGAGAAACATTTGCGCAATTATCGCAGGGCCTACAAATTTAGTATCACCATCTTTTTATTCTACCGGGCCTGCGCTTTCAGAAAATATATGGTTTGGGGGGTCTTTTACAAACGCTGGCAACGCAGCAGTTGAAAATCAAATCAATAGGAAAAATAGCAGAAAATTCAAAAATGGCTTGGCCAGCTGATTTGAAAAATGTTCCGGAGGGCTTGGCAGCGAAAGGGTTAAATTGTAATATATGCAATGTACGTTTATCTCATTCAGAAATACTGCCATTGATATTTATTTACTTTTTTAAGCACCTTTCTCCTAACCTATCATTTCAACAAAATCAGACATTCAGGTAATAGAACCCATTATGGGGCCTATTAGTATATATAACAGTACTTACATCAAAATAAGTTCCTGCTTGATCCAAGATCAGTTGGGTGGAATCTGGTTTATTTTTGCAATAAGACACATACATCTGAAATTTATCAGCCTAAAAGGAAGAATAATATGTTTTACTGTAGAATAATTTATAAATACATGCATATTACCAGGTTATGTCTAAACACACTGTATGATTATCTAACAATATCAACTCTCAAAACTGGTTGAACTCATGTTTTCTGCCAATCAGCATTGACCCTTGCCTTTATTTTTAAGTGTTGAACATGGCTCTAAGAGGTTTTCTGTTCTAGGGTGACAGCACTAAAGGTGCCCATACACCTTACAACCATCACAAGACTTTTGTCTTGCGATGGTCGTAAGCTAATTAAAAGCTTGTACGATCTGCCCATCTTGGACAGGCAGATCGTACTTGCGATCATAGGTGCGGGCTTCCGATGACCGCAATGCTGAAGGGCAGTGTGCATGTGCGCACATCGGCCCGTTCCGCAGTTGTCGAACGAGAACGCCACTAACCCGCCGACAATCGTACGATTCTCAGCAGGTTTTCTAGCATGCTCCTTCGACAAAAGACGTGCGACCGTACAGTAAAAACGGTTGCACGCCTTCCATACACCTTTACGATTATCGTACGACCGCGGGATTTCCCGCGATTATCGTACGATAATCGCAAGGTGTATGGGCACCTTAACAGTATCTATGCAGGAGCAGTGTTGTTAAGCCAAGAATAATAATTTCGGATTTGGACTACAGGATGACGTGTAGACTAGCCCTAAGAAGGCCCACATCAGCTCTTCGCACTCCCAGGTTTAGAGCTGTCAAACCGTGGCTGCTTTGGCGAGCACAGTTTGTGCTCGAACAGCTTCAACCAAGTTGAAGTAGAGTAGATCCCTGATATCACCTTACAGAGAACCTGTCACCTGCCCTATGCTATAACATAGTGAGCATTATTATATTGTGTTTATGTGCACTAAAATTTATTTGCGTACATTTTTTACTAAAAGTATAGATTTGATAAACAAAATTACAATTAGCGTGTGACATACAAGATTGCAACTACCACCATTTTATTCCACAATTCATAATGTAACACCTGTAAAAAGGGGG